GTCAAAAAATTGGTTCTTAACGAATTTTAACGTGGTCGCACGTCGGTTTTTGATGAGCCACGTCCAGGTGCCCCGAAAATGGTTACCACGAAGGATAACGTGACAAAAATCCACGATCTCGTATTGGCAGACCGCCGATTGAAGGTGCGCGAGATAGCTGAAACAGTAGGCATCTCAAAAGACCGCGTGGGTCATATCCTGCATGGAATTTGGGCATGAGAAAGCTGTCGGCGCGATGGGTGCCGCGTTTGCTCACTCCGGACAACAAGCGCAACCGCCGTCGCCACGGCCAAATTGGTCGAATTGCACTACGAACTGCTGCCCCATCCACCGTATTCTCCAGACTTTTTTTTGTTTCCAAACTTGAAAAAGTCACTCGCCGAACAGAATTTGAGTCGAATGAGGTCATCGCCGCCACGGAGGCCTACTTTGCAGACCCCGAGAAAACGTATTTTTCAGATGGGTTAAAGAAGTTGGAGCATCGCTGGGTCAAGTGTATCGAGCTAAAAGGAGACTATGTGAGAAATAAATCGCCACTTTTCCAAATTTTTCGTTTTTTTTTGTAGCTAAGTACTTATCGGACCGCCTCGTATACAGAATGTCCTATAATTAGACCGAAAACTTTAAGGGGTGCAAAGAACATCAAAACAATCAGTTTTGCAATAAACCCATATCCCCAAATGAGCCGTTTTGGTGCTACAGGATCAGAAACTAAAATATTGTTTAATATGTGTAAAATATTGTTTGAATAAAATTGTTATTCATGTTCAAAATAGATGTTTTCGTATGAGAACTAGCGATACACATCTGATTTATGAGGAAGCTAAATAATATAATGGAAGAGAAAAAATTTAATGCTTTATTTCAGAAACCACTCTAATGTCAAAACGGCTTATTTGTGGACATGGGATATGGGAAATATTGATGCCTCATTTTCATATTTTCGACAAAAATAGTCCCCAAATGATCCCAAGAATTCTAGGACACTCTTTAGAATAGACCATTTTAATATTGCGATCTAAATTTCTATTTTCCTACACCAGATGGCGCCACTTTCAAAAATATAACTCATGAAAAAATGAAGAAACCCTTAACTAATACACATAGTTAAATTTATCTTGACAAGATCTACAACTTTTGTTTGAAAAAAAAAAAATCAATTTTTATTTCATTTTTTATAAACATTTTTTTGTAAAGGAAAAAAATAGTGTTCCGTAAGAAATTACTAAAACTAATCAGCTATTATTTTGTATGCAGATATTAGAAAACAAAAATTGTGTTGGAAAGAGAAAAATCTGCAGTTTTTAATGGCTATAAATAAAATGTTTGTACCAGTTTATTTTTTTAGAAAAAAGTAATGAAAAAAATGCTAATAATTACATTTGTAAACTAATAAAAATATTTTCGAAGTGCGCATCATTTTAATTTGTACAAAATTCTGTTTTTTTTACAAAAACTCGTAAAAATTTTTTAACATGTCATTTTTAATGTTATTGACGATCCTTTTAATAGCTACTATTAAATCTGGCATTGTTGAAAATATTTATCATTAGTTTATGTGATTTTATGTGAGTACTTCCTCTTTTTAACACATTTTTGCTTTCTCAATAACTGCATACAGTAAAAAATGACAGCTAATTTCAATAATTTCTTGTGGGACACCCTGTATGTTCCAAAGTGATTTATATTAAAATGATCCATCCTAACTACTTTAGAAAATGTTTAAGTAGAAAATGTCTCCAAAGTGATTTATATCAAAATGATCCATCCTAACTACTTTAAAAAATGTTTAAGTAGAAAATGTCTCACTGTTGGTGCAGGTGATAGAGATAAATTTTCCACTGTCGCCCTAAGTTCGTCCACGCTGGCGCTCATAGGTGCACCGCCGTTGCTCAGGGGTTTTATCTCCACTCGGATCTTCCGTTCCCTCTCATCCTCCGAATCCGTGTCCGAGCTGGAATAAAATCCCTTCTCGTTCTCCCACGGATCTGGCTTCGGTCTGATGCAGAAACCATCCTCATCCACCTCCGGAGTTGGCGTTTCCGACTTTCTGCTATCGTCCTTATCTTCCCTACAGCGTTTGCGATAGAGCATTTAGGATAACATACTTTTCTAGGTCCCAGCAGGCCCAGTGCATTACATAATAAATTTTCTCGTACTCTACACAAGCATGTTAAAATGATAAAATTATTGTGCTTATAAAAGTGACGCGTGAAAATAATTCAAGTTTAATTCGCATTTAATTTGCACTAACAGAAAAGTGAGAATTGTAATACTTTAACTAAACAAATATATTTCATAATATAAATAAAACATTCCGAGTCTGAGATTCACATCCAACAAAGATATATTAAATTTATACTAAATAAAAATAAAATTGTATGTATATAATATACATACAGAGTATCCCATTTTATTTTTGACAAAAAAAAAATAAAATTGAACACTCCGGATGATACACTTGGTCAAAAAAGTGGTAAAAAGTGATGATAAAAAATAGAAAAAAATTACAAAACTTTAAATGTTGATAATTATAATATCGAGGCAAAAATATTTTTTTGTACCGCTTTTTTTGTTACCAGTGTATATTAAAGAGTGCTTTATGCTGGTTGTGAAACCGACTCTATGTGCACTAGGTCTGCTGTGCATGCATATACTGACAGGTCAGACTTTTCTTCTTTATTGCTGCTCGTTTCTATGAGATCCTTCTTCTTCTTTGCCTTCTTTTCCTTTCGTTTTTCTCTCCTACTCCGCAGAAACCCTGTTAATTGCGGACATCTCAATTGTATATAATAGGACAAACTACAGTGTATATACATTTATATATTTAATATAAATTACTCTTACAGCTATACAATACCAAACTATGAATTTGTCTCTATCTGTGTACTAACATATCAAATTCTTTGAGAAACTCTACTGCAATCAAACATCTATAAATATATGTTTATGATAAATGTTGAAACTTTTTTTTTATCATTTTCCACTGCATAAATAAAATTTTGAGCATGAAGAAAAATATATTTTTTATGATATTTATCACAAAAATATTACATAAAATCGATCTTAATAAAAAAAAAAAAATAAATAAATAAAACACCCTTATATAGGGTGTTTATAATATTTTTGTTAATACTACATCTTGTTGCAACTAAATTGTGTAAAAGAAATGAGAAAAAACAAAGCGGAAAAATGAAAGTTGCATTTCTAAGTTTACACTATAATATAATATAATATGATTATAAATATACAGCATGTAATTTAAATATTAATACAAACAATTGTTATTACTCGTATCATAAGATTTATGACTTATTATTCGATTTATATTAACATTATAATTTTTACTACATAATACACATTGTATATTTATAATCTAAGAGAGATGAAGATTAATTTACTTTCCAAGTGTTCGAAATATAGCGTGACATGATCAAATAGCATCTACTGCAAAAACAATCAATATAAAAAAATAATCAATAACTAGCAAATGCCTTCTTAAACTATACTAATTTTCACATTCTCTGACAATGCTGATACAAGGTTTTTTTTTAAATATTTCTCATAAATTTATATATACATACATGTATATTGAGATCAGAGATGTGCATTGTTTGAAATAGATGCATTTAAAATATATTGTGCATATGAATGAAAATATAAAAGATGTAAAATGACAATTTTATATTTTATATTTAAAATACATTTTTTTTCAAAAATTATTTTATTAATTATTTCCACTTGAATGGAATTTTTCATTACCCATTTTCCATTTCACATCTATTTTAAAAATACTTTAATCTCATAAATGTGAATGTTTATGTAATTCAATTTTTGTGATTCAAGTTTATATTAAAAGAAATAAGAATATAAATATAAAAGTACGCTTTTAAATATAAATAAACATAAAAATGTAAATATTTTTTAAAAATTACTTTTATATATTTAATAAATATTTTAAAAATGCCTACTTTCCAGTTTCTATTTTAAATGGTTTAAAAAGCATTTTGTATTTAAAATTTTTAAATGGATTAAAAAGTTTATTATGCATTTCCTATTTCAAATAAATTTGAACACCCCTATTTTGCATATCTCTGATTGTTATAAATACAAATTTCATTTTCATGTAAAAAAATGCATATTAAGGTACAAAATTAAAATTTATATTATATAATTATATATTTATATAAAATACATTTTTTTTAATATTAACTTGTAAAAAAATATTTTTTAATTTTATCTTTACGAAAGAAAAAACGCATATCAGCATTTTATGAATTACGATAATTAACAATAAATCTCTATATCTACATCAAACGTGAGAGATGTAGATAAAAGTGAAAAATATACAAAAAAAATCCAGTATATGCATAAAAACACGTCACGTTATTAGTAGAAAAAATATGAAGATACCCCCACACACCACCACCAAGTCAAAAGTCCTACGGTATCTGCATCTCTTCTTAAATTGTTTTTCTAACAATTACCAAAAATCTATACTGACATTGTAAAATCGCTTTGTTTGCTTTGCAACGCTCTTCCTCGCGTGTTCTCTTTGAAAGATAGCACATAGAGAGAGATATATCTTTCTGCAAGCAAATATATTATTATGCATGCACAAGAAATAAAATCTCAAAAACATTGAACGAACAAACATATGTAAAAGAAGAATCGACGGAAAAAGAGAGAAATAGGGATATATATGTATAAATGTAAATATATAATCGAGAACAACTAATCTATCTATTGAGATTAACTTGAACGCTGCAGAAAATGCTATAAAGATGAGAATTGTCATCATCAATAGGAAAATGGGTAATCATTTACATTAGGACTGACCTCACAGATTTTAATGACCTTGACATGTATTATCAGTCATAAAAAGCTATGAGGTTGGCTTTCTGATCTCTTAGGACTGACCTCATAAATTTTAATGATCTTGATATACGTATATTATCAAAGTTATTGAAGCTATAAAATTGACTTCTTAGGATTAATCTCATAGATTTTAATGGTCTTGATATGTGTTATCAAAGTCATTGAAAGCTATGAGGTTAACTCTCTGACCTTTCAGGACTAACCTCATAAATTTTAATGACCTCGATATATGTTCTCAAGATCATTGAAAGCTGTGAAGTTGACCCTCACCTCTTAGGATTGACCTCAATTTTGATGGTCTTGATGTGATCAAAGTTATTGAAAGCTATAAAGTTGGCTCTTTAACCTCTTAGGACTAACCTCGATATATGTCCTCAAGGTCATTAAAAGCTGTGAAGTTGACTTTGACCTCTTAAAACTGACTTCATAGATTTTGATGATCTTGATATATTATTAAGGTCATTAAAAGCTGTGAGGTTAGCCCTAATATAAATAATTACCGAAAAATATATTTTGGAATAGTAGTTGCTTGCAGAATCATGTTCGGCTATCGAGAAAAAAAAGATAAAATTTCTACACTTGGAAAATAAAGGTAAGCGATATTATATGTATATATGTAAACGTGTGAGCCATGCAAATTATAAATTTTACTAAAACGGCTCACCTGAGGCCCCATCAGTAGCCAACCCCACACTTGTACTTTCAACATTATTCAAGTCCAACTCCCTTTAGAATTTAGATACATATTTATTTATTCGTTTTTCGTCTTATCGCATGAGAATGAACTTTAGAAAACATATATAATTTTTTTATAAAAATGATTCATCTAATTGCAAAGTTATTATTTATTAAGGATGTGTCCTTAATGGTGTATGTATATAATAGCATCTTTGGATCACTCATGACATAGAAAAACCATATATGTATTTGGTTGAAATCGAAATACAAAAATTAATTTAAAAAACGTAACAAACACGCTTATTAAAATCTATGGTATTTATATAAAAAAAGGATATGTCTATTATTAATTTTTAGTCTTTTCCGCGTGATAATATCTAAAAATTTATATACATATATAACAAAAGCTTAAAATTTTTTCAAAGTTTTTATTAAAAGAATATTTGTTTTATTAATAAGCGAAATGCGTTTGACGGTTTAATATTGTATAAATATATAGATTATAAATGATCACAAATTTTATGTATTTTTTTTGTATCATGCTTGTGTGAAACGATTTGATTATACATTTACACAAACGATTGTTAGAAAAACAATTTATATGTAAAAAAAAAAAATAAATAAAATTACGAAAATAATTGCTCATTGGACTGCTCTAATATACTTCTAATGCTAGATGTTTTGTGCAAGCGTCCTTTAATGTTAATAAAGTATATAAACAAAAAACTATTCCTTCCTTTATATAATCTAAAAAAAATCGAAATTAATTTTTTAAATATGAAAATGAGGTAAAGAAATGTTTTTTACAGATGTGCCTTACAGATAAGAAGCAGAAATTAATTGTTATATAAAAGTATAATTTATATATAATAATTAATTCGATTGTATCTCAAAGAAAAATGCATATATATATATATATATATATATATATTTGGATATACAGGGTGTCCGAAAAATCGCCTACTCCACTTCGGGAGGTAATTCGGGACCCAAATTAAGCAAAAAAGTTCATACAAACATAGGTCCGGAAATGAGCCGTTTCTGAGTTATAGCCACTTTTATGTTCAAAAATCATAATTTAGAATCCTCTTGACATTCCTTTTTCTTAATTATTTCTAAAATTAAAAATTTTTATTTTTTAATTTTTATTTGTTATTTTTATTTAATTTTCAATTTTCAATTTTTATTTTTAAATTTTTATTTTTAATTTTTTTAATTATAATTTTTTTGTTTTTTTTAACTCATTTCCGGATCTATGTTTGTATGAACTTTTTTGCTTGTTTTTGGGTCCCGAAGTGGAGTAGGCGATTTTTGGACACCCTGTATATAAACATTAATCTGAAGCACTTAAACAAAGTTAGTATACATACACTGATGTTCTAAAAAAGTGCAGAGTGGAGGAACCATAATATGCGCAACCACTGTAAGTCAGCAGGTAGTTTACTTAATTAAGTTCTTCTTTCCTTTTGACTTAAAATATAGATATGAGAAAAAGAAATATAGTGTGTATCACCGAGTACCAAATGAAGAGAGAACAATCGATAGAGAGAAATTATATACTAAATAAAGGAGTTATAACAGAAGAAGATATACCTCTTAATTAATTTAAGGCTCTTGGCTTCTCACCGATCATGTTGGAATGGATAACGTCTTTTTTGCTTTTCTCGAGCATTATTCAAAATATTAAAAGATATTTTAGACAAAAGTTTTATGGTAAAAAAATCTATTTAAATACGTTAATACAATTTTTCTAAATTATTAATCCTCAAAAATTATTTTTTCAAAATTTTATTTACGTAGTTAAATAGAGATGTTTTTATTACAAAACTTTTGCCTAAAACATTTTATTGATATCTTGAATAATTTTCGAAATATCTTGTGCTTTTTCGCCTTTAACGTCACAATCTAACATGGCCGCGGCGAGGACCCAGGAGCCTTAAGTATGAAATAAGTATAATTTAGAATATATTTATGTTGATCATGTTTTTTTATATATTCACAGAAAATATAACAAGGTATCTACTCAAATCTTGTAAAAAAAATCCCTTTTTCAAATATTTTCATTTAAAATTTTAAATAAAGAAAAGAAATTGATGTGAATATAAAATATTATTCAAAATAAGTTTCTTTATGCGCTTTCTATTCATACGATTACAAAAAAATCACCATACACTTTTTCCAATTTTTAATATTGACTTATTAATCGCAAAATTAATTTGAACAATATAACAAAGTGCAATATATTTAAATGCAAGATATATATAAAAATATAAAACAAAAAATAATTTATTATAAATATATACGTCTTAAGGAGTACTAATTTATTTTAACAATGTTAAAAATTGAATAATTTTTTATAAAATTTTCATAAAACTTTATATTAAAAAGAGATCATTACTAAAAATAAAACCATACGAGATTTTAACAAAAACTTACATATTGCAAAGGAATATATTTGTTAGACATGTTTTTCAAAAGTAATATTATCAGACACAATTTTTTAACAAATTTCTTGAATCTCGATAAAATTCCATAAGAATTCCCGGATTTTTCAAGGAGTAGACACCCTGTATAATAATTGACCATTAATATCCTAATATAGACAAAAATAATAGATATTAAGGATTTGAATAAAATAATTTTTTAATGACTGATTAAAAATGTAGCAATTATAAGAATAAATATAAAATTTAAGTGCTAATTTATTTCTCTCGTATTTCTTAAATATCTTTAACAAGAGGAAAATGAAAAAAAGATAGATAAAAATTGCACACGATAATTGTTAATTATATCGTATCAAAGTATCGAGTACAGAGTATTATTTGTATTTCAATTTAATCTCTAAAACACTGTTGTACTCTAACTGTAAGCAAATGAGAGAGGGAGCATGGTAAAGGGGGTACAGGAGTAATCATAATGTAAGCTGTTACATTTAGATCCTCTGAGAGGGTTCCTGGAGATGCTGGGAGATGGAACAGCAGGAGGCAGGTTGTTCCCTTGAGGGGTGGCAGGTGCCGAACCAGACGACCCTGCTTGCCTCTGTTTTTCTGAAACAACACTCACTGTTCTCACATATTTGCATGTGCCCCACAGACAATTGGACGTCCTTTTTTTTCTCTCCATGTTGCACTATTTATTACGTTAGTTGCACGAATTGGAACTTCAATGATTTTTTGCAATGGCATAAGAGTTGTATTCCAAAGGGATTAAAAAATATTTTAGCCACATATATTTGATGATGTACTCAAAAAGTGATGTATTATTATGCGCTCAAAAATAAAGTTGCAAAAAAAGTATATATATGTAAAGAATTAAGAATTTTTCGTTTGCGCACACAATAATTAATTGCACAAATAAATGAATTTTTTAGTTTGCTTATTTTTTACGAATAAAGTAATATAAAATCTATTACACAGTGTCCAATTTTAATCGACTACCCCTAAGAATTTTTTTATTTTTGATTGTATAACAAAATGTTTCAAATATAAAAGTTGTTTGATTTGTTGTTTTTTCAAGTCATTTATGTGTTATTAAATGGAACTATAATTTTTTTATATAAAATCGATTCCTTGCAATTTTTGGTATAAAAGTTATAAGGGTAAGATAATTAAAAAATGAATAATTTACGAGATATTTTATACTTTAATTTGACATTAAAGTATGAACTATGAAATATTTCGTAAAATATTTATTTTTTGACAATTTTACCACAATACTTTCATGCATAAAATAATAAAATAAATCTACTCGCGCAAAGAAAATACATAGTTGTTTGTAAGAAAAAGTATGTAGCTAGTTGCAAATAACAAATTTTTATTATAAACAATTGTTTTTTTTTTTTACACCAACTGATTTTTTTTATTTTATTTTTATTTTATGAAAGTAAATATTTTACGAGATATTTTATAGTTTGTTTCATTAGTGTCAAATTTAAATATAAAATATCTCGTAAACTATTCATTTTTTGACCATCTTATCCTTATAATTTTTTATGCCAAAAATTACGAAGAATCGATTTATATAAATAATTATAGTATAATTTCATTAAAAAAAAAAAACAAATGATCTTGAAAAGCATCCTTCAGAAAAAAGTCAGTAACGTCATCTTTTGTTCCCTCATAAATCAAACAACTTTTGTCTGAAACATTTTATTGTACAAAAATAAAAAAGTTTTTGGAGGTGGTCAATTAAAATTGGATACCCTGTATATAATAAGATTATAATTAGCAATTAAGAATATCTAATTAGTAATCGAATTAAAATCCCCTGGAACACAGTGGTGTTCTATATGCCCTCCTCCACCTAATGTTAGATCATTATGCGTAAGCAAAATATAACACAACCACATAAGCATAAACAATTAAATAAAACTGTATTGTATTACCATATATATATAATATACCAGAATTGACATATCTGTGATCGCGAGTGCTGCAATTCAATTTGCGCAAGTGTATAACGTGTCGTTTTAACGCGATATATACTATCAATAATAAAATTAAAAATGACAAAACAAAAATTCCTACCCAGACATATGCAATATTATGCTATCGCCAAAAAAGAACACATTTGTACAATATGATGATAATAATTGATAAAATTAATTTTGTCAGGAATGATCGAAAGTATGTTGGGTCTTAGTGTAAACTATATGAAGATATTGATGAAACATTAAAAGAATAGGAAAATATCTCGCATCTCATTGCATCAAGCCAAGGTAGGTTCGAAACTGAGACAACGAAACTTTGATGATAAAAAAAATCTCTTATAATTTTAATGAAAGAGAGAGAGACAGAGACAGAGACAGAGAGAGAGAGAGAGAGAGTGAGAAAGAAAGAGAGAGAGAAACCTACCCTGGGAGTTGGACATGAACAGGTTGAGTAGCGAGGTAGTACGGCGGGAAGCCTTGGTGGCTTGTACATGTGACAGTTCTCTATCCTTTTCCTTCTGTCTTTCTTTTTCTCTATCCTTTTCTAGTACTACCCTCCCGCCTTCCCCATCCAGTACCCTCAAAGTACCACCCACCCTCTTTAATCCCTGATCTCTCTTTGAACTATGACTGTTACCGGCTACGCCTGTCTCGCCGTTGGTGCCCTTCGACGTTTCCTTAGGTATCTCTACGCTGCCTTCGGACTGAGAGTGGCTGGTCATTTCGGCTAAACTCGTCATGACTTCTTCATATTCGATCACACCTTATTTGAAAAAAAAAAAAAAAAGTGTAAATTGGAAATTTTTTCACCATTTTATTTCGCTTATTAAAATGGTTTTTCAATTATGGCTTCCTCATAGAAGAAGTTTAACTTGCACAAAATAAAATGACAAAACTTCCTCTATGAGGAAGCCATACTTGAAAAACCATCTTAATAAACGAAATGATATGGTAAGGAAGCAATGTGCAAAAGAGGATGTCCAAAAAGTGCGACTCTTTGAGCGTCAGTAAAATTCGAGTTGTTTTAGATCTCATATATCTAGAATAATGTAAAAACCATAGTGGTTTTTCCTGGAAATGCAGGGACCATTTAAATATCATTATTTGTTTAGAGAAAATCACGTAAATTAATATTTCATAATAAATCGAGATTTCTTGATGTTTTAACCGAATATTTTGATAAATATTTTAGTGATATCAAGTTTCTAAGATTATTTAGAATGATTTTTTAATGTCAGTCAATCATAAATTGAATAATATATATTATATATATATATATATATATATATATATATATATATAGGGTGTCTCTAAAGTCCGACCTGGGCTCTTATCTTGAAAACGATTTGAGATACGAAAAAATATTTCAAACAAAAGTTGTAGGGTTTCGAGGGGAACATAAGATCGTGCCATTGATTTGACCTTGAATAGTCATTTGAAGATCACGTGAAGATCATCTTCAATTTCTTAAATGGGATTACCTATTTTTTATTATATATTCTTGTAGACTATCTCAAGAGCTTTACAAAACCCTATAATAAAGTAATTTTTCATGGAGTACTTTTTGAGTTATAAAGATTTGAAATTAACAACTTTTTAACATAAAATGTAAAATAACTTTTTTTTGGTACTTTTTTGCACGGAATAATCAACTGGTATAAAAAGCAGATAATTGTTAAAAAAAGATATATAATATTCAACATGTAGCTGCATACCTTTTTTATAAGCAACTATGTTTTTTTACAGTAACTGATTGGTCTCATTATTTCGTGCAAAACAGTATTAAGGTATGATTAGCGAAAACTAAATATTTTATAAGATATTTTACATTTTATGTCAAAAAGTTAACTTTAAACCTTTATAACTCAAAAAGTACTCCATAAAAAATCACTTTATTATAAGATTTTAAACCTCTTGAGATAGTCTACAAGAATATGCAATAAAAAATAGGTATTCCATTTAAAAAATTGAAGGTGACCTTTCCGTGACCTTCAAATGACTATTCAAAGTCAAATCAATGGTATCTTATGTCTCCTTCGTAACCCTACAACTTTTGTTTGAAACATTTTTTCGTACTTCAAATCCAAGATAAAGAGCCCAAGTCAGACTTTAGAGACACCCATATATATATTATTCAATTTATGATTGACTGACATTAAAATTGTTCTAAATAATCTTAGAAACTTGATATCACTAAAATATTTATCAAAATATTCGGTTGAAACATCAAGAAATCTCGACTTATTGTGAGATATTGATTTACGTGATTTTCTCTAAACATATATGATGATATTTAAATGTTCCCTGCATTTCCAGGAAAAACCACTATGGTTTTTACATTATTCTAGATGTACGAGACCTAAAACAACTCGAATTTTACTTTACGCTCGAGGTCAAAAAATCGCACTTTTGATCCTTCTTTCCAATTTGTACAATTTTTTTCGTAAAATAATTTTTTTTTAATTTTTATGCTAATGTGTTCATATTTCAAAAATCTAAAATTTACAATTAAAAGAAATTCACATTCTCCAATTCACACCAAATTCAAAATCAATTATTCTTTAATATTTTATTCAGAATGTTTCAAATTAAAAATTTACATTTAAAATAAATTCTAAATTCTTTAAAAAATAAACCATTTTACAAATTCTCTACAAATTCAATTTCATTCTTGAATAACAATTTTATATAAATTCGATATTTCAAAATTTACGAATATTTATTAAGCATGTATATTTTATGAAATTAAAAATTTAATAAAAAAACTTTTCATTAATCAAATTAAATACCAAACATCATTAACCCTTTAAGTCCGAGACTCAGATTTCGGATTTAGAAATAATGCTGCCATATTGCATTTCTGGCGTTTTCGAACGGCACAGAGCGGGATTTTTTAATATTTACAACGTATTTGGGATAGATTAATTGAACGGGTGCGATAAAAAAATTTAAATTATAGATGATGCGTTTTAAGTATAATCTAAAGTAAAAAACGTGCTAAATATGGCACGCCATATTTGGCACTAAAGGATTAATGATACTCTATACTCTTTTATATAAAAATATTTAGTCTAATACCTCAAAATTAACGGAAGTTACGAAAAACACCGCATACATTTCTAAAAAAAAATTTCATAAAAATTTTATAAAAGATAAACCGTTTTATCATCACAAAATAACCACACCTTTAATAACAATCTATTTATGTATATAAAAAAAATTAAGCTCGACATCTCAAAATTTCCGAAATTTAAAAAATGCATATTTCTTAAAAATTCAAAATCTCCTATTTGCATGTCTATGCCTATTTGAAAAATGGCATGTGACGCTTTAATTGTTGCCACTTTTTGCGATGCCGATTGGTTCTTTCAATGCGCTCAGTTCATGTCTTAAGCAGCCGTCACTTGTGTTAATTTGCGGTTATTTGCAAATTGACAGTTCGCATGAAAAGTCTAAATAATTTTTGAGATATTTAACTTAAAAAAAATAAATAAGCACATACATACATACATACGAACATTTTTTTAATGTAGTTTTTCAACGTTTTAAAAAACATTCTGAACACATTGACATAGAAATCTGAAAATTTCTTTTTCATGAAAACAAAGCTTTTTTTATAAGGAAACAAAAGAATGAGTCTTTTGGATAATCTAAACCATCTTTTTACCTGGCTTCTCGAAACCCGTATATTTGCCCTGAACAAATTGCTCTAGTAATTTCTCCACCGTCATGTCGACGCATTGCCGTTTGAAATCAATATGCACCTGCCCGACTTGCTCGTGATTAGATTGCAAAACGTCGGCGTATATATTTAAAAATTCCTTCATGTGCTTCAAATGCGTCTCCTCGACATCTTGAAATCGCTTGATACAACAAAACACAGATTGATTAATATATATGCTTTATTAATGCAATACAGAGTGGATTATTTTAAAATGTCCAATTCTAAATATCTTTTTTCCTACACCAAATAGCGCCACTTTCAAAAAAATTGTGTAATTCATAGAAAAATCAAGGAAACCCTTAATTAGATTGGATTTGTTCCAAACAAGGCCAATTTTTGTTTAAAAAAATATAATTTTTATTTAAAAAAAGTTTTGTGCAAAATATTTCCTTGTAAATGATATAGGAAAAGATATTCAGAATGGCATATTAAAATAGTCGAAGTTCTAATATCTAACAGTTTATTGAAAATTAAATTAAAAATAAATACCCTGCAAGCTTGAGTCATTTTCGTCTCAAAGTCATTTCGTATGATGGTATACTTGTCCACTAGTGCCTTATAATCGTCCTGCGCCTTTTTGAACTTAATTTCCGTCTTTTCCAGCTCTCTCTGACTGGCATTATCCTTTTTCAATTTTTCCAATTCAAGACCCTTTTGTAAACACATGTCTTTCGCTTTATGCAACGTCACCGTAATACTCTGAATACTCTGTACAACTTCTAAAGTAGAGGATTCTTCTTCTTTCACCTAAATATTTAGACGACACATTTTATTTCATATATATTTGGACTAATCCCTCTTATAATTTCAAATTAATTAAATTAATTTTGTTTGATATGCAAATATAATTATATTAGTAAATGTACACACTGTGATAAATAAGACTTTTAAATATTAAATTCAATTGCCTGATGATGAGAACCTACTGATATTTGACTGTGGGCGGATACCGTGATAATATACAGGACACGTATCAATATTCTCTACAGTAAAGCATAATACTAATTGCGAGCTAAAGATAGCGTATCTTGCTTTATGAGGTCATAAATAGATGAGAAAAATATTACGCTTAAGGCTCCTTGGTTCCTCACCGACCATGTTGGAATTGTGACATCAGAAGCAAGAAAACACACGCTATAAATTCTTAAATGCCATTTCAAAATAAAAAGATATAAAATAGCATTTCAGATGGCTTTACCACTCTCTTAAAATACCTCAAAAATTATGTTTTTTTCCTTTATAATCAATCGGCTGTAAAATGACTGTAATATGAGACCCAATCCATCTAGTCTTTGCACATGCGCACTCATTTTTAAAGTTGACGACTGACTGTCAAGAGAAAAATAGTTTTCGAGGTATTTTAAAAGTGATGTAAAAGCAGGGTTGGGTAAGTTAATGAATTAACTAAATAAAGTTTAAGTTTAAGTTAAAGTTAGTTGCTTAAATAATAAAATTAATTTAGTTAAGTTAAAAGTTGTATAAACAAAAAATTAATTCAATTTAAATTAAGATTAAATTAACTAAATTAAATCAAAAGTTAATTTTTAGAAACATTTACATTAAATTAGAGAATTTTGTTTGTTAATTTTAAAATTTATAATAACAAATAACAAATAAATATTGACTTTTATATAAAAATATATTTTTTGGTAATTACAATTAATGACAAATAAACATAAAAATTATAATACTTTAATTTAAAAATAATACGTTTCTAACTTATAGAAAAACAATAATTCAAAGATAAAAAAAATTTAATTTAGGAAAAAAGTTAATAAGTTTAAGGTCAAAAAACTAATTAAAGTTAAAAATTAATATATTTTAAATTAAGCTAAGTTAAGTTATTAACTTTTAAACTTTTAACTAATTAACTACTAATTACCGAACCCTGTGTAAAACATTTCATCGAAATATCTTTTCATCTAAAAATGGCATCTTAAGAATTTTCAGCGTGCGCTTTCTCGCCTCAACATCACAATCTGGTATGACCGCGATGAGGACCCAGGAGCCTTAATAAAATAAATAGAAAGGATATAAAATTACGTACAGCCTTATGCTTCTTGTGCAGTTCGTCCGCGTATTTCGACACATCTTTTATCAGTTCGGTCACTCGCTGGGCCATCTGCAAGTGCAAAACGGCTAGTTTCTCAGCGGCACCTCTCAGGGCGGCCCATACAGGTGCAAACGTTCCTTGCGTGCTGTTGCTCGCCTGTTTCGCTACTTTACTAAGGAGCTTGTAATTGTTCTCCTCTATAGCTGATCTCTCGCGCAAAAATTCGGCCAATTCCTTGCTGGCGATTACACCATGCTTCATATTATGATATAATACGTCGAATCCATTATTCTTTTCGCCCTTGAATAGCATAACAAATCAAATTCGTTTCAGTTTTTTTTTAATTAAATCTTAAAAAATAGTTAAAAATTATATATCTACAATTTTAACTAATAATAACATTTTAATTTAAAGTATAACGTAAATTATACTTATTTTTTTTTAATCATTGATAATAAAATTAGAAAACTTAAAATTTAAAGAAATGTTTATATTTTATTGTCTAATATATAATTTTATTAAAATTATTTTGTATATTTATTTTTAAAAATTCTAGAATATGTAAAAAATATTAAGTATCTTTTAACATCAGTTGTTTGTAAATTAATGTTAAACAGTTAAAAATTTTTTTTTAATGTACATTTTATTGTATTGTATTGTAAGTATAGTAATTTATTTAAAAAAACCATTAAAAAATTTTAATTGTACGGAACAATATTAAAAAATAAGTGTTTACATTAGAAAAATCAAATTAACTTTGCTAATACACTATTTAAAATTTTTCTTCATATTTGCAATTACAATCCCAAAAATAAATAAAAGCTTAATTTGAGAGCAAAATAATAATTTATATAATTTTTATAAAGAATCCGTTAGTTAAAACTATTTAAATTTTCAAAATTTGAATTTAGGGTTGTAATAAATCCCCCAAAAATTTATAACTTTAACTTGAGCAGAAACAAAACATTTTATAAACAATTTGTCAGATTTGCTATTTTAGATTTATAAAATTTGACTTTGAGTTTGTAATTAGCAATCCAAAAAACCTAAAAATATAAATGTTACTAAAATTTGTTTAATAGAAAAATTGTACTCTTCAAAAGTTGAGAAAATATATCATCAAAATTCATCCTAGAAGTATAAAAATAAATATTTTAATATTAATATAATTATTAACAATTTTTCAATTTTTTAGTAATTCGTATTATATAGTCGTATATTATTTTTATCAAAAATTAAAAAAGAAACACTATTTCCTCAAAATCGAGACAGTAATAAATGAATCTTAGAAATAATAAGCATAACTAGAAAAATTAGTATATATGTATAAAAAAGAATTTCAATTTTTTATTAAAATAAAATCTTAAATTTTAATATCTATTAGTATTACTAGTATTTATCTATTAGTAAAATTTTCTTCCACACTGCAAGAGAACTACTGCTAATTATCTTTTAGCATTCCATTATTATTTTAATATTGTTATATATAACTAAAGAATGTATGCAAATGTACACAAATTCTGATAAAACTTACAAGATTCTTTCAATAAAAAAAAAGAAGTATCTTAATTTCTATTTATCTCATTGATTTTTATCTCATGATCATCGAAAAGATAATTCAAAAAATGAATATTTTTATGAGATGTTTTGAAATTATTACATCAACTTAGAAAATATCTCATTACTTATTCACTTTTTATGTCAAATATTAAAAAAAAAATCAATTTATATTTAAAAAAAATTAGGATAGTTCCATTTAAAAACTAGATTGACTTTTATATATATATATATATAAATAATTTTAAAAATAACTTAAAAATTCAAAATTATCAATTTTTCCCCTTGAAATCTTTTAATCTTTTGTATGAAATATTTTCTCGTTATTTAATTTCGACAATATTTCAAGATATTAATTTAAACGAAGGGGAAATACCCTGTATATAGTAATATTATATTTTACATACTCATTTATTATCAGGATTTAGTAAATTAATAATTTTTTTTAAATTAAGTTAAGTTAAAGTTAGTTGCTTATAAAATTAATTTAGTTAAATTAAAAGTTGCCTGAAGAAAAAATTAACTCAGTTAAAGTTAAGATTAAATTAACTGTAATTAAATAAAAAAATTAATTTTTAAAAACATTATTTATAATAAATTAGAATATTGTTTATTAATTCTTTTAAATTAATAATATAAATAACAAAGAAATTTTGATTTTTATACAGAAATATATTTTTTGCTAATTACAATGACAAACGAATATAAAAATTAATAATACTTTAATTAAAAATAATACGTTTATGACTTATAAAAAAAAACAATAATAGTATTCAGAGATAAAACAATTTGACTTAGGAAAAAATTAATAAGTTTAAGATCAAAATAATTAGTTAAAGTTAAAAAATGTCAATACATTTTAAATTAATTAAACTAAATAAGTTAAAAGTTATTAACTTTTTTTAACTTTTAACTAATTAACTAGTTATTACCCAACCCTGTTTATTATATAAAAATATAAAATATATATAAAAAAAAATTGTTTTTAAAAATTTGAAAATTAGCAAGAGAAAGAAAGATAGGGAAAAGTTATAAGCAAAAAAGTTTATGTACACAAGTTTATACACTACTTCTACATATCGTGAAGCTTTTCGTATTCTGTGTGAAAATCTGTCTACAATTAGAATATTACATCTAAAGATATCTGCTGGAACAGTATTTAAGATCATTTTAGCCATTTAACACTTGAACCCTGATCGTGCAGTAAACTCACATTGAGCAGAACTCTCAAGTGACATTGCAACAAGCCATCATTACATATTATTGCTCTTGTCATTCTATTTGTACCTATTACTTGCGACGGTTATATATACATCTCAATTCTTACTTTGATTTTATTGAAATAATCTTTCACACTTTTTTCAAACAATTTATTCGATTTGTCCAATATTAAGTACAAAATATTGTTTGCGTTAAATGTAAAATGATCTTTAATATATTTTGTACATATTAAGTACAAAATAATCTTCAATAAAAGATACTCCAATGCCGAAAAGGGAAGTGACAACTATCTTATCAATAACGTGGCTTTGTGAGAGAAAAATGGCAGATAATTGTATATATTAATGATTAACCGAATGTAAAAACTTTTAAATTAAATTATTTATATCATAAAATGTATGTAGTTAAATCCATGCTTTTTTTAAACATTACTTATGCTTTTCTTGTTAATAATATAGACACAAATAAATGTACTATACATTTAAATGTAAAAGGACATAAACTTTTTATCTTCTATATTTATTACCTTTTTAATATATGTATATTTAAACTTTATTATATTATCAATGTAAAAATATATATTTTTAAAAGCTATTATTGAAAACTATAAAATATAATTAAAATATTATCAACAAAATTAGGATAATTACCAATAAATCAAATTTTTATTAACATCCATAAGATAATAAAAGATTAATAAATATTTTGATATATATTTAAAGAAGAAATTTTAATAAATGTAAGAGAATACTTCCTTTATATAAATAATTCGCTAAAAATTTTTGCTCAGATCTGAAAAAAAGCTGAATATTCTTGCACATTCTTAGAAAAAGCTAATTGCAATTGTAATCATTAAAATACAAAGAAACTGACGTAATTGTACAAGTGTTTTTTCGCTCTCGTATACAAAGTGCATAGCCCGGCAATTTACATATGTATGACAGGCTACATAATAAAAGAATACGATGCGATCTTTTTTCTAAAGTCCAATAGATATCTTTCTTGTCTTTCACGGTAATATATAGCTTCGTCGCGATATAAAAAGACGTAGAAATTACGTATAGTAGACATACCCAGATAGGAACGCATGCAGAAAAATTTTAGCATTGTTTTGATTAATTAATTTTTTATTAATTTATTGATTCTAAATTTAATTTTTGTAATGCATAGCAATTTTTATAAAATTGACATCTAAAATAAATGCAAAAATAAGTAGTATTATTTTAGCACAATTATTATTGCTGAATACATTTTAGAAGTTAAATTTGTAATTATAAAAACAATTAGAGTATAAAATTATATAATTATTGTTCGAACATTCTTAAATCTAAAATTTCACAAAGAAATTTAAGCATCAAACATGTATGAAATATATGCGACATAATTTATAATTACAAAATTCCATTTTAGCAAAAGATGTGTGTTTTGTAGAATCATCTTAACACAATTATTGCAAAAAGTGTCCTATCTGAGTATATATATATAGGATGTCCTGTGTGTAACGTCGAGAAATTTTTTGCACGTTTCCAATTTTTGTCATCGTATATCATTTTGTAATTGAGCTTTAAATTAAAATTCTATTAAACTCCCGAGATAGCAAAAGTAGTCATTTTAACGTCAAATTATGTCATTAGATATATTTTAATAGCAAAATGGCCCAGATAGTAAGCATATATATCATTTTGACGTCTAATGACATCATTAAATGTCAAATGACATCATTAGATGTCAAAATGATGTTATTAAACGTCAAAATAATGTCATTTTGACGTTTAATGACGTCAGTTTGCTACTTGAGGATGGATTTTGACGTCAAATAACGTCATAACAATTACTGTGGCTATCTAAATCCACTTGAAATTGAAGAATATCGTTTTGTTAATATTTGATTTCCACAAAGCTTAGTTTGCAAAAAACCCTTTATTTTCAACTGCTTATAACTCGAAAATTATTAGTGCCTCGACATTTTCGCTGAAAAAAAATAGTCTCCAAATGATCCCAGGAATCTGTCATTAACAGGTGATCCGCTAATTTTGAGACACCCTATATATATATATATATATACATATATATATATATATATATATATATATGAGCGAGAAGGAAACGTGTGACAGATGAAAATGAGCGAGACGCCAAGCGAAAAAAAAATAGAGAGGAAAAGCGCGTGACAGATGACAATCGGCGAGATGTCGGGTGAAAAAAACGACGAATGAGACGGAGGCAGGAAGGAAACGAAGGCTACAGAGAAAGAGTCAGTATTAATACGAGCATATCACGCGTATCATATATTATGGAGTAGAATTCGAAAAGAATAGAGGGACAAAAAAAGACGAAAAAAATGACGAAGTCACGTACGTAATAAATTCTCTCGTGACATAACCTAAATTCGCTCGTAAAACAAGGATTGTCGATTGACGAAGGGAAAAAAAGAGAAAGAGAAGTAGAGACTCACCCAGAAGTAGTCGACAAAGTCCACAGTCATATTGGAACTGCGATCAGACCATCATACTATCACGTTTTGGCTCACGAGGATGCGGAGGCGCGGGCGAAAAACGACGACGGCGCGCTTAATAATGAACGATTACGCGAATACGGAGGGATACGTGGGACAATTAACGATTCGCGCCCAGTAACGACGATTCACCAGCATAATGCTTTTTCTTGCCACCCTTGAAGGAGCCGCGAGCGGGACGAGCGTGCTCGGAGAGGAGAATACGGGTCAACTTGCGCCTCGCTTGTGGTGTCGATTATCTCTGTTTGTCGCGTCGCTCCGCAACTCTCTCTCTCTCTCTCTCTCTCTCACACATGGTTTATGCGCTCTCCCTTTCTCTTCTTCTTCTCTCGCGCAATTGCGCAACCATTCGCCTTCGGCAATGGCGCATTGGAGTCCCTAGAAAAGTTACTTTTTAGGATTAGTTACTAAAGGCGGTATTCATGTACGTTCTTATATATGTAATAGCGTTTTCGATTGGGAAAAAGTTAGTGCGCATCAGTGCGCACTCAGTTCATACGAACACTGGACAAGTTCCATGGGTTGCACTGAATAGTGCAGGTGAAAAAGAACACGCCGAAATTTTCAGTGCTACTTGAGTTGACTAGATTCCGGGAAGAACGAAAAAGTAACCTCGACATCTTGTGTTCAGTTAAGTAATGATTTTTATTATATGTAATTAAATATAGAAGATGATCAAGAATATCACGTATGACAAATATAAAAATTATTATTATTCAGTATAAAAATGCTATTACATTAAGTACATTAATTATATTTTAAAAAAGGGTATAGGTTCGATGTTTATATAAAAAGATATAACACTTACGGTGTCATTATCCATTTTTTTCACACATTCTACATAATTTACAGTTTTTGGAATTATTCTTCTAGTTCGAAGAGTTGTAATTATTTCTTCTTGCTCGCTTAAACTAGAAGAAGATTCCAAAAATGTCTCCAAAATATTAAAGAGAGCCAAATCCGAATTGCTCATTATGTCGAATTTTCGTTCAAAAGAATGCCCTACTGCTTGCATGCATCCAGTGCACTGAACTGGCACCATCGACATATAGAATGGACTGAGCATCGCGATGGGTAAGCGCGCGCCTGCTTTAGAGTGAGAAGTACTACATCTGAGGCCTATGTTTGTCTCTCTTTTTGCAGGGCCGTCTAAAAAAATTGCGGACCATGTGCATTTTTCTATGAAATGTGTAGTCAATAGATTTTTTTAGAATTTATTTTAAAATTTGTTTTAATATATTTAATATATTTATAAATAAACAATAAATTTGCTTTAATTTATATTATATTTATATTAATATTTTATTAATTATAAAGTTTTATAAATAGATATATGTTTACAAATTTTATTATAAATATTATAATAATAAATGTTATAAATAATAAAAAAATTATATTGTTGATATATAGAAAATTTTATTTATTTACATTTATAAAAAATTACAATACTACACATTATTATAAATATAATATGATATATGCCACTTACAGGATATTGTTATAATTATATGTATAAAACAAAATTTTATTATATAATATTTATAGTTACATGTATTTCTTATATTTCTTATATTATGTATTCTATATCTATCTTATATCTATTGATGCATAAATAAAATTGTTTTTGTTAACTTATGTCTTATTCTATTTATGACTGCAGATTTTGTCTTTGCTGCGTGATTTAATCTTATTTTTAAAAAAATTAACAAAAACTAATTTTATTAATTTTATTAATTCCAAAGCGAGTAGGCGAAGGTGAGGTGTCAAAAATTTAATGCTATGTTACTGCTAGAATTCTGGAGGGGGACGAAATAACAAATCAGAAGCTTGCAAGAGAGACAAACATAGGCCTCAGATGTAGTACCTCTCACTCTAAAGCAGGCGCGCGTTTACATATCGCAATGCTCAGTCCATTCTATATGTCGATGACTGGCACCGTCAAAATATCTCGTGCCACTTAGTGCGCATTGAGTGCGCACTATGCGAGTGTTGTGCGTTCAAACGAACACGCAACACTAGCCAAGTGCGCATTGGCACTACCAATCGAACACGCGCCTGACATTCAGTGCAGCCAGTGCACCCCAATCGAAAACGCTATAAGAATCAACTGTGAATGCCGGTCTAAGTTACTATAGTTACTAGGGCTGCGTTCGGAAACTACACACTCGGTGTCGTTTCGTGATTTCAATGGAGAAATGGAGGGGATACAGTGTGTTCTCGGGTGTACAGTGTTTCCGAACGGACGCGTATGTTTGTACGCATTTTGTGTACAAATATATATATACATATATATATATATATATATATATTTATACATATGTATATATTTATATATTTATCATTTATAATAGCGGGAATATAATTGTTTAAAGTTTAAGATATATATATATATATATATATATCTTAAATTTTAAACAATTATATTCCCGCTTCATCAAATAACGGGATATCATTATTCATTGCGGCTTGATGCCGTCCTTTTATTAAAGTAATATTTTGTTGATGCATTATTGATCTTTCTTTTCACTATAAACAGGATATCGATTCTGTAACTTTTTCTAAAGTGAAAACGTGAAAAGTGAAAAATTTCCGCCAATCGCACATCGATTTCATTTTAAAATCAATGCGTGATTGACGGAAATTTTTCACTTTTCACGTTTTCACTTTAGAAAAAATTACAGAACCGATACCAAGATCAAAGATCGGAATTTAACCAATTAGAATAAGAATTAAAATTTCTTCGTTTTGATTGGTCAATTTTCAATCTTTAATCTCAATTTTCAATAGTCTGATAAGGATTTTAAAACACATGCGAGTTATTTAATATAAAAGATTATTTGAATGTTTAATGTAAGATTAATGTTATTTGTTGCTATAAATTTTAAAAGAATTCAACAAAATTTTATTTAATATAAATAATGTTTTTAAAAATTAACTTATGATTTAACTTCAGTTAATTTAATTTTAATTTAACTTTAATTGAATTAATTCTTTTGTTCATGTAACTTTTAAGTTAACTAAATTAATTTTATAAACAATTAACCAAAAAAATAATTATCTATAAGAAACCTCGCTTAGTTTAAAATAATTTAAAAATATTTTCTCTCTCTCTCTGTAAAAACTAATGTTAAATTAATTCGAACATTTTGAATTTAGCGCTACTGCGTAATACGACCTATGACGTCACAGGCAGTCAGGTATCTTCCTCGCGCTTCCTCTCTTTACTCTCTCCTTACCTCAGACTCAAAATTGACATCACATATCACCATATTACACATTGTGGCATATAGGCGAATCCCCCAGATGCTTTAGCAGGCATACAGAAAAAGAAGAAGACATTACATATCGCGCGGTGGATAGAGATAGAGAGCAAAATGGCGGCCGAATCAAAAGTCTCATTCCGCTTCGCTCTCGTCACCGGACGATGGTGACCGGCGGTGGCAGCCTCTCTCATTCCGTAGCGAGATGCTATTCCGATGCCATCGCGCATACGTACTACATACACCAAGTGCAATCGGTATATAAGAATGACGCGCGTGAAATAACGAATCGCTCCGATTGCGGCAGTCAGCAGCGGATTCCTACAGCTAGAGCCAGAGACCGGTGGGTCGGGAGGGAGGGAGGGAGGAAAAGGGATAAATACACTGCGCCTCTCAAATTACTAATCGGAATATTTACTCTGGAGAATTTTGAATTTCCGTAACGGCCAGATATGTGACGTGACGTCACGTGCTGCTATCTTCTTCCTCTACTCCACTTCTTCGTGCGAAGCCCCTCGTGTGTAAATAAATCGTGCGGAACGAAAAGGTGTGTGTTAACGCGTAATATTTTTTCGCGCGCACACGCACGCACACACACACACACACACACACACACACACACACACACACACACACACACACACACACACACACACACACACACACACACACACATATATATATACACATATGACAGTTATTGCGTGGATGACAGCTACCTGGCTGGAGTAATTCTCGGAGTAATCTGGACGTCTTTGACGCACTGCGTGCTAATTGAAATCTCTCATTTGCATAAATGTCGCGCTGATGACAGATCTACCTGATTCTAATCGGGATTCCAGATATTGCACAATACACTCGCGACTGAATCACGATGGAGGACGCGAATGAGGTTCTGGTATGCGCGGCCGAATTCATAAAAGGTAATTTGTTGTTTCACGTTAATTATTAATATTAATTGATTGTTTTCATTAATTATCGCAATATGCATTCGTATAATTTATTTAAGATTATTTCTACAATTTATTTTATATATATAATATTTATTTCTAAAAATTTTGTATTATATACTTTATGTATCTATACATGTAACTATATGATTGTATACATTTATTTAAGATTATAATTGTCTGAGGATTTCTCGTTATTTTTTTATCTATAAAAAAGATATTTGAATTATATTGTTTCACATTTTTTAGAATTATTATAATCGTTTTAATTAATTATCGTAATATGTGTAATTTATTTGAGATTATTTCGTTTTTTTGGGGAGATTTCTTGTTAATTTTTTTATTTATAGAAAAAATATTTGGAACATTACAAAATTGAACTTATAGTTTTATTTCCTATATATATTTATAATTTTTTTTAGTATTTTTAAGATTAAAATTATTGCAATATGTAGTTTTACATGTAATTTATTTCTATATAACATTTAAATCATTTTGTAATTTTGATTTTGTTGTATATCTAATTTTGTTAATTTATTATCTATAAAATCTCAAATGTAGAAACATTCCAAGTAGCAAACTGATGTCATTAAATGTCAAAGTCATGTCATTTTGATGTCTAATGATGTCATTTAACTTTAAAATGAGATATACTTGCTATCTAGGACACTTTTTAAGTTAAAATAAATTATTGTAATTAATATTACAATTGCAATATAGATATATAATTTATTTCTACAATTTATTTTATATATATATATAAATATATATATTTCTAAAAAATTTTGTATTATACTTTATGTAACTATAGATATAACTATATATTTATATAAAATTTTACTTGCCAGAAATAATTTATTTCTTTTTTTTTTCAGATCGATTGTATTTTGTTACATTGAGAACAACAATGAAACCAAAAAGTACTCCGAATACACATTACTTCAGCATTGACAATGAATTGGTGTATGAAAATTTTTATGCCGATTTCGGTCCTCTAAACCTGGCTATGCTATATAGGTATTGTCAGAAAGTGAATAAAAAATTGAAAGGCATTGCACTCAGCAAAAAGAAACTTGTGCATTATACGACGATGGATTCAGAGAAAAGAGTGAACGCTGCCTTTCTCATGGGAAGTTATGCGGTAACATATTTTTTTCTCTATTTAGACAAATGATAATAATGACAATATGTCATTATTATTTTTGATCACACTTATATTCTAATAGCACTAATATAAAATTTATATATACTAATATAAAATCTTATATTTTTAGATATTGTACTGCAAACGCACGGCACAAGAAGTTTACGAATGTTTAACTAAAAGTCCAAATAATCCTGCATTCATCATGTTCCGTGATGCCTCCATCGGACCACCATGCTATCAAATATCGTTAAGGGACAGCCTAAGTGCTATATACAAGTGCCATCAACTGGGTTTCTTTAATTTCGAAGATTTCTGTGTTAAAGAGTACGAATACTTTGAAAGAGTTGAGAACGGAGATTTAAATTGGATCGTTCCAGGAAAATTTATTGCTTTCTGCGGACCACATGCAAGATCTAAGATGGAAGATGGTGCGTATTTTCCATCGTATTAACATCAATTTAGCAGTGAATATGTGAAAAAGGATGCAGTAATGAGAAAAAAAATAATATGAAGATTAGATGAGTAAATAATTTAGTGAAATGAGTGGTTATATCAGTGATGAGTGCAAAAACTGAAAATATGTACACACATGCTTGAATGATGGATGAGAAAAAAAGTAAAGGAATTATAATTATTTTAAAAAATTTTAAATCACAATTCATCTTTTACTTGTTTGAATTATTTAGAATCATAAATAATTGCGCGCGGTTATATAATACAATAAATATTATGTCCTTTTTTCACACAGGATATCCACTGCATGGTCCGGAATCATATTTTACTTACTTCCGCCGTAATAATATAACAACAATTGTACGGCTCAATAAAAAGGTTTACGATGCGTCGAGCTTCACCGATGCCGGCTTTGTACATAAAGATTTATTTTTTATGGATGGCTCGACGCCGACAGATTCAATAATGCATCAATTTCTCAAAATAGCGGAAAGCGCAAACGGCGCGGTCGCCGTTCATTGTAAAGCTGGCCTCGGCAGGACGGGTTCCCTCATAGGTTGCTACATTATGAAACATTATCATTTAACTGCCCACGAAACAATTGCTTGGATAAGAATATGCAGGCCAGGTTCTGTAATTGGTCACCAACAACAGTGGCTAGAGAAGTGGGTATTTGTCATTTTTCTTTTTATTATTATGATGTACAGGGTGTCTCATAGGAAAATGCTAAAATTAATCAACTGTTATTTTTTAATGCACGCAGTTATCGAGAAAACAAAAATTGTATTAAAAAGAGGAAAGTCTACAGTTTTTAATGGATATAAATAAAATGTTTGTATACCAGTTTATTTTATTGATAAAAAGTAATGAAAAAAGTGCTAATAATTACATATGTAAACTAATAAGAAATATGTTTGAAGTGCGCACCATTTGAATTTGTACAAAATTCTGTTCTTTTACGAAAACTCGTAAAAACTTTCTAACATGTCATTTTTAATGTTATTGATGATCTTTCTAATAGCTGCTATTAAATTTGGCATTGTTGAAAATATTTTCATTAGTTTATGTCATTTTATGTAATTATTAGCACTTTTCATTACTTTTTATCAATAAAATAAACTGGTATACAAACATTTTATTTATATCCATTAAATACTGCAGACTTTCCTCTTTTCAAGACAATTTTTGTTTTCTCAATAACTGTATGCATTAAAAAATGATAGCTGATTAGTTTCAGAAATTTCTTATAAAACACCCTGTATATTTTTTTATTATCTATATATATAAATATAGATAATTATTATTTTTAATATCTATATAAATATTTAGATAACACTTTTTTTCATTAAAGATGCAGATATCGATAATATATATTTTTGTTATCTATATAAAAATAAGATGACGCCAAAAATTTTCATCTAGATAATCATCTATAATTTTATTTAGATAATAGTAAACATTGTGTATTATAATAGTATTAAAAAAAAAAAAAAAAAAAAAAAAAAAAAAAAAAAAACTAATAGATAAACAGAGAATAAAAGGAACTGAGAAATTATTGTGCTTTGTTTTTCTAGAAAGGAAACATATCTCCGATCGTTGCTGAAGGAACCTCTGCAATCTGAGGACAGAAAAAAAGTCCACGAGTATGGGATATATTCGATAGCCGGTAGACCCAAAGCAGCTTCCTTCCAGGGGAACACGAAGGCTTTGATGGAAGATAATGTATCAGGAATTATGCATCGCGTAGACGAAATAAAATTAGATGATCCTGGACCGGCGGCTGGAGCCAGCTCTACGAATAGATACAGTATGTTGACCCAGGGTGATAAATTATGCAGAATCAAAGCTAAGAGAAGAGGCATACCGACGTCTCAAGCTTCTCTTAATGCGAACACAGGAACGTCCACTGTTGGGCAGTAAGTGTGCTTTTATCAATTACCAGAGTGTATACTGGAAAATCATGGAATCCTCAGAGAATTTATTTTTAAGATTTGAGTATACATCCTGATTATACAGTTCTGCAAAATAGAGGGTCTTAACACGTGTTTGAGCAAATGAAGTAGTTTTCTATGTAATTTTGCGCTGAATCCGAATCTGACTCTAGATTTTTGCCAATCACGTCAGATTTTTGAGATAAATGAGATCAGAGGTGTCCAAAATGATGATTTTGATCAACTTCATGCATTTATTTTAGACACCAAATTTTTTAAAATATTTCTGATACTGTCATTGCATAGTATTAGTCTTTCCCTTTTTAGTCCATTTCAAAATCCATTTTTAGTCATTTTTGTGTGATATTTTGTTCCCAAGTACTATTTTAAAGCTCTCCTGGATCCTTGTCACGGTCATGTTAGATTGTGACGTCAGAGGCGAGATAGCACACACTGAAAATTCTTAAAAATGACACCCAATATCCAATAACTCTTTATACTTAGAATTCAAAAACCCAAAGTTCCAATTACTCCAAAACCCAAAAACACAATAAGCTCAAAATACAAAAAGTATGAATTTGTAAATTCAAATCCATGCAGATCTATGTTATTAAAAGAGTGTTTTTGTTTTAATAAAAACACTTTTCGAAATATACATCTATATATATTTTATTTGCAGTCCATATTTGGGATCTCTGTTACAAACCAGGAGCCAAAAAGTTACTACTTTAGTGGCCAATAAAGAAAGAGATCCCACTAAAAGACTTTTATCACGCTCTACTGCAACAACAGTGAAGAGGTGAGATGATTATTTACTCTTCTCAATTGTTTTAACAATATCCTACTCTTTACCATTTCTTCATAAAAATTTATATTTACATTAACATATGTATGCTTTTAATATAAAATTATTGAATTAAATTACATTGATAAAATTGCATGCATATTTAAAAGATATGTCTGCTTATCTTAACTGGAAATTGTAGAAACAATTGGTTGGTCAGCAGTAGCTGTGATCCATCTTCCTGCCGTATTAGGTCTAAACCGTCAACACAGAGCCATAGCATCAACAACAATACAACTACCATCAGTCCTGTTACGTCCTTAACTGTATCGAAGCCAGTGAGAAGAGCAAAACGTACCTCCTGCATGGCTGTGCAGGCTCATACCACAAATTCGCCTGCCAATCATGCGATACCGCAGCCGCAGCAACGCATGAATATGATCCTCAGGTCGGCAGATCGAGTTACTCGTTATTCACTCAGGCAGTAAGTCGATAACTGTCCTTATTTCTCGAATTCGAGCCTAAATTAAGAGGTTGATGCATCATCGAGTTCGATCGTGCAGTTGTTTGATCTTTTAACTGTTTGATATATGTATAAGTAAAACACATATTGACAGTATTTCCCGCTCCTCTCTCCTAATTCCTCCGTCGCTTTTGACACTTGGCTTTGCTTTATTAATCATTCGAGTATATTTTCTATACAAAAATATATATATATATTTTTTGTGTTTCTGATTATGATAGATGTATAAAGATGTATAAACGAAAAAATTCATCTGGTCATCACAAATCAATGAAGTTTGATGTTTCGTAGATTTATATTAACAGTAGGGATGGAAGTTCAATATGTATTTAAAAATCGGAGTTTCTAGAGATTTTCTAAGAATTATTCGAATATAAATCATAAGAATTAGTATTTTATATATTGTATTTGCGAAGTAATCAAATTTAAAACAATATTTGAATTTTAGATTCAGTTGCAAGGTTTAAAATACTTATAAGTACTATTAAAAGTATTTTTAATATTTTTTTCAAAATAATTATAAATTATAAAGAGTTCTTAATCCCATCTTTAATTAACAGATTGATATAAATCTATGCAGCTTCATGATACACATAGAGACACGGTTTAATGTATAAACGAGATTTTTCATATATAAATTTTTATTAAGGAAAATACACTTTTAATTGTTAATATTTTTGTAATAAATTTACACACATGTTTTTCATAATCAGAATATTGTGCAATTTTTATATCCTCTTGATGAAAAAAAGAGAGAATGTTCTGTGAATATGCATGGCTTAAATTTTTTTATCATTTTACACCTTTCCTTAAATTTCTTACAATTGTTCTCCCATTTTAATACTTGCAACCGTGATGAGATATTTGTTCTATTTTTTTATATTCGCAATTTATGCAAGATTTTAGTATCCTTTTGTTCATCGAAAACTAACTTCTAAACTGTTGTGACACACAGACGGATGTACTAGCTGTTTTTACTCATCGTGATTGGAAAAATGATGACCGACTATTGAATCCTGCTGCAGGTTTATTCTATAACTTTTTAAAATATGCCTTACCACATTTTACATAACTGCGAGTAATGCATGCATTATAATTATAATGCATGTGTTGAAAAGTTACAAAATAGACCTGCTGAAACATTCTGCTTATTTTGTCATAGACATTTATAATAATCTGTTAGTATAGCCATTTTGATCTTAATTTCTCATATAAAAAGTCTCGTTTATATTTGAATGTATCATCTTCATACATATACACGCACACAAACAATACACACACATACACATAAATAATGTTTTGTAACATGTACAGGGTGTTCCATAAGAAATTGCTGAAACTAATCTGCTGTCATTTTTTAATGCATGCAGTTACCGAGAAAACAAAAATTGTGTTAAAAAGAGGAAAGTCTACAGTTTTTAATGGGTATAAATAAAACGTTTGTATACCAGTTTATTTTATTGATAAAAAGTAATGAAAAATGTGCTAATATAATTACATATGTAAACTAATAAGAAATATTTTCGAAGTGCGCACCATTATTTGAATTTATACAAAATTCTGTTCTTTTACGAAAACTTACGTAAAAGCTTTTTCTAACGTGTCATTTTTAATAATATTGACGATCCTTTTAATAGCTACTATTAAATCTAGCACTGTTAAAAATATTTATCATTAGTTTATATTATTTTACCCAGATAGCCACAGTAATTATTATGACATCATTTTGACATCAAAATGATCTCATAATAATTACTGTGGCTATCTGGGTTTTGATGTCAAAATGATGTCATAATAATTACTGTGGCTCTCTGGGTATGTGATTATTAATACTTTTTATTACTTTTTATCAATAAAATATACTGGTACACAAACATTTTATTTATATCCATTAAATACTGTAGATTTTTCTCTTTTTGAAACGATTTTTGTTTTCTCAATAACTGCATGCATTAAAAATGAGAGTTGATTAGTTTCAGCAATTTTCTATGGGACACTTTTGAACATTTAACTTTAATAGTTAATGAGAGACATAAAAGACAGTTAAAAAGTTATATATATATATATATATATATATATATATATATATATCGGCCAAGCGAGCAACGCAATGTTATTGCGAAAATTAAGAAACTTAGGAATTCGTATCTTGTGGTTGAAATCTCAGAATTTTCCTTGTTCCTCTTTTAACACCTTCCCCCCTGTAAAGAAATAGGCGAGAAAAACAGTTAAAAGGGTTTTAAACATGTGCGTTTAGCAATGGATGTTAAATAAATTATTTTCAGCTTCTAATTAAAATTCAAAAGTTTTAAATCTGTGGAATGAGCAAATTTAGTTTGTTGTTAAGAATTATTGAAAGTTCAAATAAGATATATTTATATAATATAATAAATTTTTATATTATGGCCAACAAATATAAAAGAATGTTATATACACATATATATAAACTTTTATTATATGAAATGTTTGGTAAATATTCACATAAGGCCAGGTGAAATGTTTTGTTATATATACAGGGTATCCCAGACCACCTGTATACCCCTTTTTTTAAAAACTAAGCATTTTAGAGAAAAATGTTTTAAACAAAAATATTGTATGGTTTTGAGGGGAAAATAAGATGGTGCCATTGATTTGACCTTGAAAAGTCATTTGAGGGTTATGTAAAGGTCAACTTTAATTTCTTAAATGGAACTACCTATTTTTTATTACATATTCTTGTAGATTATCTCAACAGTTTTTCAAAACCCTATAATAAAGTATTTTTTATGGAGTATGAGTACTCTTTGAGTTATAAAGGTTTGAAGCTAACAATTTTTTTACATAAAATGTAAAATATTCAATTTTCGATAATCATACCTGAATACTTTTCTGCACAGTATAATAAGATCAATTAATTGATATAACAAATAATTATTTTAAAAAGAATATGTAATATTTAACATGCAGCTGCATACTTTTTTTTATAAGCAACTATGTGTTTTTTTACACCAATTGATTGGTCTCATTATTCCATGCAAAAAAGTATTAACAATAAGATATGATTACTGAAAACTGAATATTTTACAAGATATATATATATATATATATATATATATATATATATATATAATATATTTTATATTTTATGTCAAAAAATTGTTAGCTTCAAACCTTTGTAACTCAAAGAGTACTTCATAAAAAAATTTATTATATGATTTTGGAAAGTTCTTGAGATAACCTACAAGAATATGTAATAGATAGTTCCATTTAAGAAATTAAAGTTGACCTTTACATGACCTTCAAATGACATTTTAAAGTCAAATTAATGGCACCATCTTATATTTTCCTCGAAATCATACAATTTTTGTCTAAAACGTTTTTCTCTAAAATGCTTAGTTTTTAAAAGAAAAGGGATGTGTGGGTGGTCTGGGACACCCTGTATTTTATTATAGAATCTACATATAAATTTTCTCGTTGTATAGTGTCTCCCATTGACTGTTGAAGTGAATTCCACATGTTATGAAATATTTTGTCTTGATGTATAAATGTATAAAAAGCTTGTATTATAATAACAATGTAAACAAAAATTGTCCCAGAAATAATTAATATTTTGAGAGTTAGCATCGATTATTATGAGAAAAAAGTTAAACTTTGATTCTAAATAATTTCCAAGATAGAATTATTTGATTGTGACTTTTTTCATGATGTGTGTAGTCGGTCTTGTTATTATTTCCCAAAATATTGATTTGTGGGATTCCCTATAGATACGCGTGCAGGATAGTTTATTTTTTTTCATTTCGTTTAACTTTTTTGTTTTTAGTTTAAAAAAATATTTCTTATATAAGTCTTTCGTAAAGTCTGGAAAAAATTACAGAAGATCATATATTAATTTGTTAAGTTTTTTAAAATTAAATTAATTTTTTTAAATAAAAATATTTATTTTTGACTATATACATTCTTATAATTAATATCAAGATGTTTTCTATGAGCTAATAATTTATTCTTTTTATATTTAAAATTGAGTTATATATAAAAAATGATTTACAGTCAAGTTTGCATGGAAAAACATAAATTACCAAATTATCTGAATATTATTCTAGATAATTTAGTGAAGCTAACACTTTTTTTCATCTAAGGTGCAGCTATAGATAATAGATATTTTTATTATCTATATAAGATATATATATATATATTTCTATATAAATTTATATTTTTATTATCTATATTTATTATTTATGTTTATTATTTATAAATATAGATAATTATTTTATTATATATATTTATAAATTACATGGCTATTATTGTCTTAAAAATCATCTTGATATCAATTATGGAGTCACAGTCAAAATAGGTACTTTTATTTAAAGAATTTAAGGCTCTTGGATTCTCGCCGCATGTGATGTCACAAGCTGAAAATTCTTAGATGTCATTTTTAAATGAAAAATATTTCGATGTAATACAACTTCAGATGGCTTTAGCACACTTTTAAAATAGAAAACTATTCTTCCCCCTAATTGATCAATCCTTCAATCATCGCCCTTCATAATTTATCAACAACCGTAAAATGTTCATAATATCAGACTTCGTCGTGCAAAGACCAGACAGACTGGGCCTCATATTACAACTGTTGATTGATTACAAAGGAAAAAAGATAATTTTCGAGGTATTTTAAGGTGTGCTGTTTCATCGAAATATCTTTTTATTTCGAATGGCATCTAAGAATTTTTAGCATGTTTATTCTCGCCTTTGACGTCACATTCTAACATTGTCAGAGGAGCCAGGAGCCTTATTAAGACAATGTTTTAAGTTTAATTATATATGTTTTAAGGTAATCTTGAAAAAAAGAATTAAAAATATATATATTAAAAATAGATTTTTCTAAACTTAAAAACAAAAAAAAAGAATCGGATTTTAAAATAAACCATCTTGTGCGTGTATATTTATATATACTTTTTTATTTCGACTTTAAACAGATATATATAGTGGTTGCCCAAATAAAAAGTGAATACAAGTCATAGAACCTTGCGAAATAGCGAGTTTGTAAATTGTCGGGGAAAGCCTATTTGTTTGTAAATAATTAAATGGGAAAGAGTTAGTTTTGTACGACGGCAATAAATAAATAAAAAAAAAGAACAGCAATTAACTTCGCACGGATACTGCAAAGCACTGGCTCAAGGCTGCGTAAAAAAGTTCGCAAAATGCCCAGGCATCCTCTCACAGCAAGTCATCCTTCTACACGACATAAAATGCATGTTCTCGCACCACAAATACAACCATTACCATTTTTTAATTGAAAAAATTCCGCTGGGAGATGCAACATTCGCCGTAAAGTCCTGACCTGCGAGTTTTACATTGGACTGTGAGATGAAGGATCAGGTCAAAAATTGGGTTTTCACAATCACTGGGGGTTCTGTGTGTCTATCAGGAACATCAGGATTTGCTTATTATGGAACTTTTATCTAAACGAACATGAAAATTACTTTTAGAGTGCATATCATTTATAACACATGTCCACTTTTTATTTGGGCAATATTTATATATACAGGATAAGCCACTTTAATGTATCTGCCCTGAATGCTTTTCTCCTATACTTTTAAAAAATTTGTTTCGCACAAAAGTTGTTTAAGGAGAACACAAATCAATTGTTTACAAATTACGTCATTTTCGAAAAATTCATCGATCATAATTTTTTTAAATTGAAACCTTTTTTATGACAAAATGTTGTAGATCTCGTCGAGACAAATCCAATTTGTTTTAAGTTCAGTTTTTAAAATTTTTTAAATTTATGAGTTACGCAATTTTTTAATTTTGAAATATTAGTTTCCAACGGGAGAAGTACTTTCTGCTGAAATTAAATATTTTGTGTTTTCCGGTAGTGATGATATTCAATGATTATATACATATATTAGTATTACATCATTTAGTGGGAAATCGAAATAATGGTTAATGGAAATATTTTAGAGCTGTTGAAAGGAATTTCTATTTTACAGACTTTTACTGACTTTTATTTTTAAACATTTCCATTAAAAAAGTGATGATATTAGTGAATTTCTCGAAAGTAGTGCTGAAACTAATTGGCGGTAATTTTTAAATGCATGTAGTTATGAGAAAAGAAAAATTATATTGAAAAGAGGGTCTACAGTTTTCATTGGATATAAATAAATGTTTGTATACCAGTTCATTTTATTGATAAAAAGTAATGAAAAACGTGCTAATAATTACATATGTAAACTAATGATAAATATTTTCGAAGTGCGCACTATTTGAACTTGTACAAAATTCTATTCTTTTACAAAAACTCGTAAAAACTTTTTCTAACATGTCATTTTTAATGTTATTGTTTTATCCTTTTAATGTTTTAATGTTATATCCTTTTAATAGCTACTATTAAATCTGGTACTGTTGAAAATATTTATTATTAGTTTGTGATTTTATGTGATTCTTAGTTTTTTTATCACTTTTTATAAATAAAATAAACTGGTATACAAACATTTTATTTAATATTCATTAAAAAAGACTCCTTTTTTCAACATAATTTTTGTTTCTTCAATAACTGCATGTATTAAAAAATGAAACTAATTAGTTTCAGCATTTTTCTATGGGACACCCTGTATAAATAAATTATATAACATTACTGTTTAATGTCCCTTTCAAATTCAAACAACTTTTATGCAACACACTTTTTGTAAAAGAAAACAAGATATTTCGAGTGGGACATTAACCCATTCTGTATATATAATAAACTAAAATTTTTCTACACATTTTTAAAAAATATCTATACATATTGATATTTACAATATCTATACATATTGTAAACTAACTTTATAAAAAGAAATGTAATTAAAATACAAAATTGTAGGACTGTTTCGTATGATCGATTTTAATTAATTATATTATTATATTATTTTTTTAGAGATTGCATGTGACATAATTACATTAATTTTTGTTTTGTTAATGAAGCATGCATTAAATATTGGAAATCTTATATAGGCCTGGGCAAATAACACATTTGAACAGAAATATATATTTAAAAATGAACTTTATTATGTGTACAATCCATAGTCCAGGCCTCATAATCATGTGTACAAGTAGTGTTTAAGGGATAAAAGCAAGCAGCACTAGAAGTGGCTAACAAACCGATCCTATTTATTTCTGTGACTTGCAGTGCACGCACAACAAAAAGTTATAAAAGTGCATTTATCAGATGACTAACCGATATTCCCAGTGTCGTTGGGGATGAGGATTGTCAGATAACCGGAGCATCTCACCAGCGTCGAAGATCTCATCGCTTAAACCCCATCATTTAGTAAAAAATACTTCACACTGACACCTTCAATCCGAGTCTTCAAGTCAAGTGAGTTTTGCCCAGGCTTTTATATCGCAAATCAATCAAGAAGATCAAACTTTCTATCTTTACAATTTCTCATCAATACTGCATTTATTAATAAATGGTTTTGTTATATATTTGCATCATACATGGAATATGAATTTGTTGCAATGATATTTAATATACAGCTCACAAAAAGCTTTTATAATTGTTCTGTATTGCGATATATTATATATTGAATGTATGCAAAAAAAGAATCAGGTTTTTTCTGCGAAGATTATTTATCCATTTAATCTTTTGCTTAGCATTAGCACCTTTATAGATACGTATTTTCAAAATTATTGTATCTATTATACATAATTTTCGTTTTTAATAATTTGTATTTTACTATAATATTTTTTTAATACTCACAATCTTTTTGCGATCTGATGAATATATGTATTTTTTATGGTACATAATTTAAAATGTATACTTGATTTTTTTATCCAAAAATTTTGCAGAAATATTTAATAATTGGTTTTACTATTTAAAAAAAAAGGAGTTAATTCTTCCAATATCATTATTACTATTATTATATCTCTCTATTATTATTATTTTGGAAGAATTAACTTTGATTTTGTTGAATGATTAAACGAGTGATAATCCTAAATATATATCTTTAAAATTGAAATTTGTTATATTTTTTGTTATATTAATACACTAATCAAAACAATTAAGGGATTACTTTAAAACTTGCGGATTCAAGAGTAGCCTTTAATTGTTTCAAATAATGTATTACATATATATGTATTTTTATATATGACTATATTATATATTATATATGTAAATTTGTATTATTGTACACGAAACAAATTATTGTCAACCGAATAATTGAATATAATTAACAGGAAAAAATTTATTATTTATCATCATTGTGATATAGAAAATGTACATATTATGAAAATTACTAATTTTGTAATTTTCGGTTTCAGACAATGTTAAAAAAATTTCTAAATATTGTAAATTATAGACATATTACATGGCACTTGTGAAAAGTTACTTTTTTAGTATTTTGAACTTGATAAAACACATTAGGAAAAAAGAGACTTGCAATATCAAATAATATGTATATGCTCTATGTGCAGTTTATATATATAATCGATGCAACACGCTTTCGCTCTCCAGAAATATTATTTGGAAAATATATATGTCTTATTGATATTCATTAAGTCATATAAGTCGAATGTATATTTGTATATTTATTATTTAACCTTCAGGGAACCTTGGAAACATAAAAGTTAACCCAAGTAGTAAACTGACATCACTAAATGTCAAAATGACGTTCGATGTTAAAATGACGCACATGCTTGCTATCTGGATATTAGATTGTAAAAAGAAGAATAAGTCTTTACTCAAAACTCAGTATTTAAGAATTTTTCAAGTTATTAAAATTACGAATCTGAAATTAAAAATTATAAAATTCAAAATGGCGACTCCAATGGCGTCAATAAAATTAATTAATTTTTGCTGTACTAGTAAAACTTTATTCTGTCCTTTACTAATCTTCCACTATTTTGGATCAGTTATATGTCAATAAATTCTTTTTTGTGCTACTTTTCTATTATTTATTGAATTTGTTGAATCCGTACAAAACGAGAGATAAAAACAGAAAGTGCAATAATTTTTGACAAAATTTTCGTCTTTGTGTAATGAAAAGCAAGAAAAAAATTCTGTTCTATTTTCTTGTTTTCTACATAGTATTATTATAGGGCTAAGAGTAGCTCGATCTATTTTTATGTACTTAACAAAATATTTTGTAATACATTTCAATCTATATCTCTCGTATTGAATCTATCATTTCAGATATGTTACAATTTTGATTCATTAAATTTTATATGTACTAAAACAAAAACAATTAACATCGGGATTGCATTAAAAGTAATAAATAATTTTTTCTTTTTAACATACATATAAAAAATTGTATATGGCCAATAAAAACTATTTGCAAAATATACATATCATTCACTTTAAGGTTCATCAAAAATGTTTGCTTTCAGTTTTTTTTCAAATACTTTTTTATATAAAAATATAATAATATATTGTATTGTTCTTTTAAAAAAAAATTGATTACATTATCTTTTTGAAATATGTAATAAAAAAACCAAAAACGATTTTATTAATATGCATATAAGATATATATATGTGTAGTCGCGTATTTATATAGATATATTTCTATAGAGTATCAAGATAGCTTATATTGTACATAATATTTAATAGTAATATTTTTTAGAATTATTCTATAAGAAACACAATAATGTCTCCTGCAACAACAATTAAGGCGAACTGTGTATCTACAAAATATGTGCTTGTAAGTCGTCTAATCAGAATATTTTAGATTATATTGGATCTCAATAATAATTAAACAAATTGAATTCTTAATATGCTTAATCGATGGTTTAGGTGATCTGTTTTATATAACAAGAACTTTTTTTTATTATTGCATGCTATAAAACAAAGACACTATAAAACAGAGACATTATCATGCAAAGTTCCACTTAAAAAATTTTTTAACAAACGCTTCTCCTTTGTTGACAATTTGCAATTTCCAACATGAGATATTAACGGTTCAAGTTACTTACAATTAGAGTTCTTAAAGTAAGATTTAGAACAATAGCGATCGTTAATTAAGGAATAAAACATATATATTTGAGATCTGAAAGAAATATTTAAAATAAATAATGACAAAAAAGTTATCAAAAGTTTTTATACTCAATTTATGAGCTATATACATATAAAGTTATTATATATAAAATTATATATTATATATGAGCCACATATATATATATATATATATATATATATATATATATATATATAATTCTCGTTTTGTATGTTTTTCTGTACAAAATTACTATTTAATGTTCTAATTCTTACATGAGGAACTATAAAATTCTAATGCATAAACATTGCGGATATAATTATCACTTTTATTATTAATAACAAATATATGTATTATATAGTTACATACTTGTTATACCATCTATTATAATTTTTTCAAAAGTATTTTATGTATGTATTTTTTTTAATTTTATGTATGTATTTTTAATAATAAAATATGTGATTTGCGCAACTTACTATTGTATATGCAATTGCATATGACACGCGTATATAATTTGAATCTGTATTTTGTATGAGCTTTTAATATGTAAAATATGTATATAATGTTACATTTTGTGTGACTTGTGTGTGTGTGTGTGTGTGTGTGTGTGTGTGTGTGTGTGTGTGTGTGCGTGTGTGTGCGCGTGTGTGTGTGTTGTTGTGCGTGTGCGTGTGCGCGTGCGTGTGTGTACGAATCAAAGAACATAACAGAAAGAGAGAAAGGCATATTTAATATATATATATATATATATATATATATATATATATATTGTGATAGTTTTGCATTATCAGTCCTAATATAAAATTTTATTTACATATGAATTTAGTCGTAAACATATAGTATATGAAAAATTATGAGGTCTTATTACGATAGATTTATACAGGGTGTCCCATTTTAATCGATCACCTCTTAGCCCTTGTAACTTTGCAGGGAACAGTCGTAGAGAAACATGTTTCAAGTAAAAGTTGTATGGCTCCAAGGGGGACTAAGATGGTGATCTTGGCCTTGACCTTGCAATCAAACATGCCTGAACATTTTTCTCTACAATTGCTCCCTGCAAAGTTACAAGGGGTGATCGATTAAAATGGGACACCCTGTATACATCCATCTACTATTATATTCGCGCACACACATACACACACACACACCACACACACACAAGCCTGTCATAATAAAACATTATGTAAGATTTACAACATACAGATTTTTAACTTAATAAGAATTTTAAAAAAGTTATAATAATATAACCATTTAAAAATTAAGTTAAAAGAAAATGCCATGTGTCCAAAAATCCAAAAAATTGTTATGCTCTTTATTATATATTAGTATATTTTACATGTCTATAAAAATTGTATAAAAAAGTTAGTTTTAAATTCTTAGTAGTTGTATAAAAAAATGTTACTTGAATGTATATTTTATAGTTTATACTATATATAAAATTATATAAAAAAATGGTGACAATTGAAAATAAAAATTATACATATATATACAATATAAAATAATTCTTTTAGTTATTATAAAATTTAAATTTGCAGAATCTTCCACAAGATATTTTCTGAGAAACAATTTGTAAGAAGCATATATATATATATATATATATATCATATATATATATCAGCAAAGATTATATATATAATATTAAATTAATTAAAAGTAAAAACAATTTAATGTAAGAAAACTTGGTACTACGGAGGAATAAAAAATGTTTTGTTTATAGTAAATAACAATAAATAATCGTGTGTATATACAAGGTGTTCCATTTTAAAAATCCACAAATATCTTTTAACATGCATTTTAGAGAAAAATATTTCAGAAAAGTTGTAGAATTTCGAGGGGAAAAAAGTTGGCGTTACTGATTCTTTGCGGAAAGATAATTTTCAAGGTTATTTCAAGATCACTTATTATATTTTTCTATAAATGGAACTATACCTTATTAATTTTTTTTATATATATTATATTTATTATTCTTTGCAATATTCAATATAAAAAATTACAAGAGTAAGAAAGTCAAAAAGTAAATAATAAAAACTGTAAAATACCTCATAAGTATTTATTTTTTGTTAGTCTTACCTCAATATTTATGCATGAAATATGTCGCAGATATCGTATAATCTGTTAATGGTATAGATTCCTAGAATTATTTTTGTAGTGGGTAGGTCTGGGACACCCTGTATAATTTGCAACTGGCGCAGCTATAATACATATTTTTTCTTCCACGATGTGGAGTAAAAAAGATACAAACTATAATAAAACTAAAAAAATCCTTATTATATATTTATGTCGATTGTATTAAAATAAATGGAAAACACTCCTATTCCTATAATATATAATATACAATATACAGGATGAATCGATATAAGTTAAATTAATATGACTTTTTAAAACTAAGTTAAGTTAAAGTTAGTTGCTTATAAAATTTATTTATATAGTTAAGTTAAAATTGCATGAACAAAAAATTAACGCAGTTAAAGTTAAGATTAAACCCTTATAGAAATTTATCACTAGTAACGCCAATTATCACTTATTTCGAGTACTTAAAATAAACAGTAATATACAGTAATTTAAGTACTCGATATAAGTGATTAAGTACTCGAAATAAGTGATAAATTGGCGATACTAGTGATAAAATTTCTATAAGGGAATTAACTGAAATTAAATCAAAAGTTAATTTTTAAAAACATTATTTATACATATATATTTAAATAGAATTTTGTTTGTTAATTCTTTAAAATTTATAATAACAAAGAAACTTAGATTTTTATATGTATATAAAATATCTTTTCGCTAATTACAATTATTGACAAATAATAACATAAAAATTAATAATACTTTAATTTAAAAATAATATATATTTTATACTTAATTATTTATAAAAATAATGCTTATAACAATAATGGTATTCAGAGATAAAAAATAAAATATAATTGGAAAAAAAGTTAATAAATTTATTAAGATCACAAAAATAATTAGTTAAAGTTAAAAATTAATATTTTAAATTAACTAAGCTATGTTATAAAAGTATAGTTATAATATACTCACTCACAACCTGTGAGTAATATCCATTATGTAACGTTTTTTAAAGTGAAAACGTGAAAAATGAAAAATGTCCACCAATAACGCATTGGATTTTAAAATAAATCAATGTGTGAAGAAATTTTCACTTTTTTACTTTAGAAAAAGTTACGCAATCGATATAGTTTAATAATAGAATATTTTTTCTATTGTACGCAGGGCCTAAATTGGCTTGTTGACTACCTATGTGACGTCACGAAAAAAGAGGGGATAGAGGTATACAAACATTACATTTTCACACTCACACTGTTTCGTAACATGCTGAAGTGAGCAGTGTATGGTTAGTAAAATTGAAATTCAAATTAATTATGCCAGAATCAATCTACTACGACGAGGTAGAAATCGAGGATTTCGAATACGACGAGGACGAAGGAATTTATTATTATCCGTGTCCGTGCGGCGATCAATTTCAAATATCTCTCGCCGAACTAACCTCCGGCGAGGAAGAAGTCACATGTCCTTCCTGCTCCCTCGTAATTAAGGTAATTTACGACAAAGAGTTATTTCGCGCCAAGCAAGAAGAATTTGAGAAGAAAAGTGGAAGAAAGAGAATTGATGGCGCAAAAATTTAAAACATTTGACAATTATTTTTGAGATAATTTTGGTAAGTAGAGGTTAGTAATTTTTCTATTTAAAAAAATGTGTTCTGGGAAAAAAGGATTAAAAACTATTTAATATAGAAAATTATAATAAACTGATGTTATTTTGACTTTTAATGACGTCAGTTTGTTAAATCATACAATTTAATAAATATAAATTCGTTATTGATTAATAATTAATTATTAACAAATAAATTATATTGATTGTTAATTAATAAGTAATTATTAACAATAAGTGTAAATTACATTAATTACTTTACAAATTTTTTCTACAGAGATATTTTGAAGAACTTTGTATAATTTTTGTTTTCAGAAGTCACTATTGATTTTTTGGTTACAACATTATATATTTTTATATCGCCAATTAGGACATCACCAAGTGACAAAAATGGCAGGACGTGGCAGAGGAAAATCTGGTATGTCCTTTACCATGGAGCAATTAGGCTTCGCCAAGGGAGAGATGCTACCAACGCCAATTCTACAACCACCGCCAACCTATCCCATGCTGGATCATAAGCCTCTACCGATACAGATAACAACTGAGATGAGCTATTTAGTCGAATTGAAGAGAGACTTCACCGAGTATATGCGAGAATCATTAAACAATGTGCAAGCTGTCATCTTGAACGAAGATATTGAACGATATTGTGAAGATTACGAAGAAAACACAGGATATAATAATAGATTGGAGTATGAATCCAAGTATGACTGGAGCAGATTACCAATGGAATTAAGGTCATCGCGAAAGCGTAAGCTCCAACAACAGGATATGCAACCGTATAAGAAGAGAAAAATCATAGACATTGAGAAGAAACTAGCAGGATTGGACAAAAGTGAAAACACTTGCGTATGGATGTGTTGAGAAGAGGTGGAGGAGGAAGAGGAGGATGAGAGGAGAAGGAAACGAATGAACATGTAAAAGATGAGGAGGAAGTAGATGAGGAATGGATGATGGGACTGATTATGCAAACGAGTACTTGAGACTGGTGAAAATTACTGCAGCGATGACGATAATGACGATGGACCTGTTTTTTGATATATTCTCAATCTTAGAAGTATGATTTGCTTTCAGGATTTTTACATACTGATAAATGCTGCAAATTTAATTTAATTTGCTCATTTCTGTGATATGTAAATTTTTTATTATTCGTAATCATGGTTGTTACTTAATATACATGTATAGTTGCATGTGTAGGAATGAAAATCAACACGCAAGTTAATTATCATTAAATTGAGTAAAATATATATCATTATAAGTTCATTTAAATAATACATCTTGAAATTAATATATTGTGTTGTATCATATTTTCCAGTTTCTTTATTTATGCGTATGAAAAGCGTTTTCGACAACATCGAGTGTCAATTTTAATAATAACAAGACAGTAGTTGTTAGCATGTGGTTGTTTATCATATTTGACTTTCTTCATTATTTAATTTCTTGGGTAATGAGAAAGAAAGGAATCATCAATGTAATGTACGAGTGCACTTCTTTCAAAAGAGAAAGAGAGAGAAACTGAATATTATGGATAGGTGTATATACATATATACACAGACACACACACACATATCCATAATAGTACAGGGTGTCCTATAAGAAATTGCTGAAACAGCTATTATTTTTTAATGCACATAGTTATAGAAAAAAATATATTGAAAGAGGAAAGTACGGTTTATCAGTTTTATTTTATTGAAAAAAAAAGTAATGTTTTCTTATAAGTTTGAATGTATCATGCAATATTCCTCAGAATGGACAGAAAATGTAGGTACAGCTTTCATAAATTATATACTCTTTTAATATTTAATAATGCTTTATTCGCAATTATACTATATAAAAATGTATAAGACCGTCGGTAAATGGCTCCGATAATAAATATAATATACGGAAAACGGCCAATTAAGAACCAGGTGTGGTAATTGATACGCAAACGAATAATGATAAATTATTTAGTTTATTAGTACGTTTCGGTCCTATACGTTCGGACCATCTTTAGCATCTGAGAAATTAAAAACGCCATAATTTTAGCAAGCTCACATTTTTTACAATTAGCGAAGCGTAAATAGATTTATATATACGTGGTTAAATCATAAATCAAAAACCAAATTATCATGGGTACAAAGCATCATCCGAAAAGTCAATATCCTATTCCGGTGCCCGCCGGACAAGATAGTTCAGCATTGGCACACGCACCACAAAATGAGACACGGTGATCAAGTAAACGAGCAGTAAAAATAGTGAACTATTTTTGTGTCGATGTACAGTGTGAAATGAGCAAAATAGATATATACGTTTCATACCGTGTCGTCAAGAGAAAGTCATAATTGCTATAAACATTGCGCGCCAGATTTTAACAAGTCATTATCTTACAATACAAGTACTACCCAGATAGACAAAAAGATATCTTTTAGATTTCTAAAGATTTATTGCTATATCTTGAGATGTCTTGCATTTTATACGAAAAGATATCTTTTAGGGATCTAAAGATATCTTATGCAACAATTTTAGATATCTAAAGAAATCTTATGGATATCTTGCAGCAATCTAAAAGAAATCTTCAGGTAATCTTTTAGACATCTAAAAAACATATTTTAGATGTCTTGTAAAATATCTCCTAGATGTCTTGAAAAATATCTTTTAGATGTGTTAAAGATATTTTGCAACAAAGTAAAAGAAGTTTTAAAGTAGTCTTTTAGATATCTTAAAAAACATCTTTTAGATGTCTTGGAAAATATCTCTTAGATATCTTAAAGATGTCGCAAGATAAATCGATATATACGGAAAATTCCCTTATGAAAAAAACACTCAATTCGTGAGTGTTAACACTCGATTCTTCGAATTTATTCTCAAATTTGGGTGTTCACACATTTCCAAGAATCGAGTGTTAACACTCAAGAATTGAGTGTTTTTTTCATAAGAGAATGAATAACATATAGCATGACAATGTTAAATTTATTAATTAAAAGTTACTATAAACAATAATTATGCAATAATTTTCAATCAACAAACTTTAACATTGTTATGTTATATATCCTTGATAAAACTTGAACACTTTATTTGTAAACATGAATATTTATATTTATTATAGAGAATTATACTTTTACATATAGAATACTTCTGTACATATGGTATATTTCATATATTGCATCTATTGTATCTGTATTATATATGTCGACACATTCCAACTAACAATAAATATATATGTCGACAAAAACTCTAAACAAATCTGGAATACAATCAAATTTAAAATGTAATACTTGTTTAAAATAATTCTAAATAAATCAAAGAAAAAATAGATCAATAAAAGATTAAAATGAATATTAAAATGGAAAAAAAATAATAGAAAAATTTAATTAACATTAATTTAAATTGATATTTTGTGTGTGTATCATTAAAAAAAGGTTTTAAAAAGAACTTACCACCAATACCAAAACGATATATTATATGTATATTGACAGGTGCATTAGTCTCCTCTTCGGTAGTGTATCTTTTATGGTGATGTTAATGTTATTAACAATATTATCCTTAACATATTTTTAATATTACATTCTTCGTTTGAATACAAAGTAAATTCATTACCTATAAAATAAAAACACAATCATAAATTTGTCTAAATGTAGAATTACTGTAATTGCCATGTATTTTTTATTACAATCATATTTATATATCTATTTATATTATAACTTTAATTATATATATTTAATTATTTCACATTTTAATTTAAAACAATTTTTTTATTTTATATATATATATTTTTTATATATATATATCTATATATATATATATATATATATACATACATATATGTATATATACGGTAATAAATTTTAATAATATTAGTAAAATAGAATAACCTGTTCTAGAATAAATTGCAGCAACTTTTAATAAACGAACTTTAACATTATCATGCTGTTTCCTTAATAGAGAACTTGAACTTTTTTATATACATATATATTTATCATATATTCATATATTTTCATATATTTATATCTTAGATCGCACCAATACTAATATTATCATCATCGATTATTACATTATGTTCATTTGGTAAATGAACCGGTAAACGAAATATAGCGTGACTTTTTTCTTGTAAAGGTTTACTTAAAATACGCCAACATGTTTTCCACAGGCCCGACATACCGAGCTTCAATAAAATCTTCAATTTCATCATGATTTATAGTTTTTATCTATATTTTCTCCAATAACTACAGATGCAGCATCATGACCTTTATAAATATATTTATATAAATATTTTACAGACGTATACTCAGAAACTACTTTAACATTAATATGGCTATGAAATAAAAGTAAGAGCGTTGGATTAAATGGAACAATGTAGATTATTAACAACGTATCGTCCAGGTCTTTCGTACAGTAATTCGCATTATTTCTTCGATAATGTTGCGGATAACTATCTTCATCCATAATCGTTTCAGGTCGAAATAATTTTTGAAAAACGTTTCGAGCGTTTATTATGTATCAAACACTAATCTCCACATGGTCCATGAATCATATGTTTCATTATAAATTATGTTAACTTTCATTTTCATTAGAATCAGGAATTTCTGCACAAATAAATTTATTAACTATTTCAGAATTTGATATTTTATAATTCTGTTTTAAGATAATCAACAAATGTATATGTGGTAGTAATTCATGTTTTTGAAATTCTATTACATAAACATATGTCAAAAGCTTCCCCAAAAATTTTTGTCTAACAATAATATCGATTAAATAATCTTTTTTTATATTAAACACCCGAGCGCATATATCTGACCTATCTGCAGATTGTTGATTTAAAAGTAAATTTCTTTAATTTTGCACCAATTTGGATTACAAGTCATAGTAACAAAGATATCTGGTTTTCCATATTTCAGAACAATAGCTATTGCATCTTGATAATATTGTAACATCCCAGCAAACAAAATATATAATGTTATATACTCAAGCATGTTACATGTAACGTATATGTTAGTTGTAATTTTCCACTCATAGATGTAACATTTTTAATATTACATATATTATTTAATATTACATTGTAGTTATATTGTCATTATATCCCAAGATAGCACTGACTTATCAATACATCAATGTGCTATTTGGTATATAATTACAATATAACTACAATGTAATATATGTTATATTAAAATGTTACATCTATGAGTGGGAAATTACAACTAACATGGATGTTACATGTAACGTACATGTTATATTATTTGTTATATTCCGTTTTATTATAGCAATGTAACAATTATATATCGGTGTTTGCTGAGATATTACGCGTGAACCCTCAAATGTTGATGGAAGTATAATCATTTAATCAATATGAGCATTATTGTTATTGACGGTGTTTACTAAATAATCAATTAATCCTTGATAAGTTTT